GACCCCCCTGGCACCCACCTCAATTCACCATCTTCTCAGGAAGTAGTTCGTTCCTCCGGGATCCTTCCCAGCCCTCCGGGCCGTCGGTTGCCCTCCTTGACGGACTTCGCAGGATCCGTTGTGGCGGGTGTTTGGGCGGCTTGTTGATCCTCGGATCGGTCGCCCCTCGGCTCCACCGGCAAACCAGTCGGTTTGGGGCAGTGCAGACCGTAGAACCACACAACTTCAGGAGTTGGGAGATTGGAGGCTCCTTCCGGATTCGTTGACTTATACCTCTTTGGGGGTTGAGCCAAGAATCAGGGCAATCAATCCGAAATCGCAATATCCACCACCTGACGTCCACCATCAATCCCCTCTCTAGTTTGGCACCAAGAATCCCTTCTCTTCGGCGATGTGGGGCCAAGGCCTCGGCAGTTCCACTGCTCTTCGTGCCCATTTGGCAGGATGCCCCCCGGATCAGACCTCATCTGCAGGGGCGATACGGCGCACACGATTCTGTCGACAGATGCGAGCGGAACGCGCGGAAGGGACATGTTTTGCTAGACCCGACTTCAAGTAACCTGTCAAATGGGACATGACCCGACAAAAAGAGGTGTTTCTACCCATGTTCTGAGATTATGAACTGAGACTCCAGCTGTTCTCGGCTGGATTGCTAGTCTCAGATCCTGCTTGTACAGTTGACGTCCTGCAGAACAGACTCCGTTGGCTCCAGTTGGTGTCTTCAAACAACATGAAAAAGAAACAGCAGAACTGTGTGAGACTGGAGCTATGGCTACGTAGGTCTCGGCAAGGAGAGACGCACAATAATCCTGTGATTCACCCAGAATCCTGGCTTTTGGGGTGCTTTAACATGGAGAAGACTGATGTGAGGGTTATGAGGCTCGTGGCAGGCGAGTATAAGTATAGTTCCAGGAGGGCCCTTCCCAGGTTCATGGAAAGAAAGGGTGCCAGCTTCAGGGTGGCTGATACAAGATTGTGAGAAGTGCACAGAAACGTGCACAGGAAAGGTTATTAGTCCTAGAAAAGTGTTGCGCTAGGAAACGCACACACTGCCTGGCTCATCTTGAACACTTGCAAATCAGACGAACCTGATCGATGACTCATACCTGATAGCTCCCCACCTTCGATGTTCCTGCACCTACGATGCTTTTCGGAGCTCCCCATGTCAGCCTTAAGCTACTATGCCGGAGGGTCCTGGGCACGGGACTTCTTGAGTTTAGGTGTCTCTTAGAGTCTTTTGACTGGATCGGGAAGTGCAAGAAGTTCAGTGTAAGTCCAGATATGTCCAGACATTTTGAACAGCTCACCTTCGAGTAGCTTCCATTCACTACATTTCAAAAAATCATTCACCAGAATCCGGGCCTCCCTCAGAATCTGGGCCCTCAAACAAATCGGGGTTTTCGAAGGGCCCTATCACCCCTGCGTTGCGGACGGTGTCGGGTCCGGGCCCGACCTTGGATTCTGCTTCAGTGGCTTCCTGGGGCTCCTCGTAAAGACAGGGCCGATAGTCCCTACACCTCCAGTCGTACCTCCTCAGGCACCCACCCCAGTCCCACCTTCTCAGAAGGTACTTGGAGGCCTAGGGAGTGTAACAGTCTAGAAACAAGTCATCACGAGTCGCTCATCTCAAGTCACTTCTGTTTTTTTTGCTACTCGTGCGACTCGTTTGGAATTGTCAGGTGGGATCCTAAGGGTAGTATCACTATCTTAGTGGAAACTCATTCCCTTCTGTAGGCCTGTAGGCTCTACTATATATAATCACTGAGTCCGCACCAGGGACCAGCTATTCTGGTGCAGAATCTTTCCCGGACGTTCTTCGGATCTCAGGTCTCTTCCGAGGACCTTCTCCGGTGGAAACCGCTGCCGGGCCGACCGGCGCCTAAAGTGTTCCTTGGATCAACGGGCGGAGTGGCAGCGGCCGGGGATGGCGGTCGTGCATTTTGCGAAAGGGAGAGGTCATTGGGGTCCCGAAAAATTGACATGGTGTAGCAACTGATATTATAAGAAAATGATCCAACCATGGAATCCTAGCGTAGATCATAGACATAGCTTGCTTGGTAGCCAGCCCTGGTCGGGGTGGGGGGTGGTGTTGCGTGTCCTCAAGTAGACAGAATAAATACAAGTTTTGAAGAAGCAACAGAAGTTCCAAAGAAGGCAGGAGGAAATTGGTCATGCTGCCATGCTGAATGTGTGATTCTCCGGCACTCATGGGCCCTCCTGGGCAGGAGCGCCACCCTTTTCCACTTTGACTTTGAGAAGCCTGAATGGACAGGCTCAACGGGAGAGCAGGCGGGAAACCGAAGTCTTCTTGGAGTTCTACTGATGCATCAGACGTCTGCCTTCGAAGAAAGAAGGTGGTCCGCTTCTTTTTTCTTTGGTGGGGGGCGACGTTTGGCCAAGGGATGAGGAGGAATCTTCCAATCTTGCGGAACCAAAGACGACCCAATTGGATTTGCGATGATTTGCGTATAGTATAGTATATGTTTTTTGCGGTTTGCTTTCGTCGGGTTCTGCTGGAAGAGTTCCTTGACCCTCTATCTTTGCCTGGTGAAGCCTCGCATCCCTTCGCAGTGGGTTGGATCGCTGAAGCGGACCGCTGGAACGAGGTTCACACAGAAGCTACAATGCACAAGGAATGCGAACTCCGACGTATAGTGGATTGAGAGGAGTAGATGGGCACAGACCCCAAATGTCGGTGGTTTATATGAAGCCCCATGTTTTCAGGACATCATGGGGTCTGTGCCATCTACTCTGAAACCACTGTAACATGTTGGTTTGCGCATGTTTGCGCTGTTGATCGAAGCGTTTTTGTCGGGCAACACGATTGCCTCCTTCGGTTCTAGAACGTTCCAAGCATGGTTTCGGGAAGATGGCAGGGCTCTTTTGGAGCAATATCCTTTTGGATTGAAGCTGCTTTCCGAGTCATCGAGCAGCTTTCCGAGTCAGGATCAGAACCACGAGTTGCACAAGTGTCCCCATCAACGTCCATAAGGCTTTAAGGTTTCAAAACCCTGGCCAAGGCTTGAATTGGTAGATCATCGCCGCACTTCATTGGTCATCGCCTTCGGCTTCACGACCCCGTGCATTTCTGAATGCGCGCAGGTCCCCGGCTTCGATTGGCTGGACTTTTGTCGATACAGCCACCCGGAGTCAGTTCCACACCGTGCGGTGCTTTCTCAGTTGTTCATGGCTTTTCCAAAAACAGACTCATTGAGACTGAAAACCAGTGATGTGGACATGTTGTAAGGTTGGATATGTCTTTCTAAGTGGGTACCGTAGACTGTAGACCCTAGTGGGCTCAGTCCACTGGTGACATCGAACGTCGGACTTTTCAAAGTAGAATAAATGATACCCTACAAGTCCAAAGACCCAGTAAAGCCTGGTCTGTTACCTCCTTCAGTATTGGTTTTGTATAGCCATATCCAGTAAAATGAGGTCTTTGACTTGTAGGGATATGCTTATTATTGCCCTTTATCAGTGCTTCTTAGTTTGTGAACATGTGTTCTGTTTGCTACAGTGGTTCTGGATTCACTGACCATGTTTGACAAATACTCAATCATCCCTTCCATGCACCTATTAAACAACACGCCCACCCAAAAAGAAACTCCGATATTATGTTGCTTTTCCCCAAAATGTGTGGCCACCCTATAGGGGTTCTTAGGGTATAGGAGTCAAGGTCGGGTGTCTATCGCATCCGCCGGCAAGTTGCTGCTATTTAGAGTACATTCATTCACCTCGAGATCTTCGAAGTGCATATCGACTGCACAGGAAGTCTCAAGCGAAAGCTGCGTTTTGGCATCTTGATGTTGTCCTTGGAAGATTTGGAAGTGCTCTTGCTGCGAATCGCCTTTGCAGGGCTAATCGTGATGCGCATACCTAGATCTTCGTATGAGCACGTGTCCAAAAAAGTTGCCTTTTACCGTACGGCGGCGTAAATTGTAAAGCTGCGGTGTTTCTTGATTTTGCGGCGGCGTTTTTCGTAATTGGCTCGAAGTTGTATAGTTGGGTGGTTTGTGCCCTTCGTTAGGTATAGTTGGGTATAGTTGTGCCAAACCCCGAAGGTTGATGAACGCACCCCAATGTGTGAACTTCTTGTCAACATAGAGCCGGTAACCTTTGCGAAGATGCGGAATTGGTGCAGTGCTTGAACCATGTGTTAGCTTCGAAACGGCTGGTCGTTCCGGAAGAGTGCCAACCAGTGTTTCATAACTTGTTTTCGTGCTTCAGAGCTCCCTGAAAGAGATGGATAAGCATTCAACACAAAAATTGAAATTATGTTCTGGCGTTTCATATGGCGGCGTAAATCCACGTATTGGCGGCGTAAATCCACGTAATGGCGGCGTAAATCCGCGTAATGGCGGCGTAAATTCCCGTAAGTTGGCAACATTTGTCACCCATGGACCACTGAGATTGCTTGGCTTATCAGGGTGTAGCATACACATGAGCACAAAGACTCTTGTTAGGGGGTGGTCAATTGTCAGAGCTTGCACAATGACCTTGGAGAATGACCCTGAGTACCAGAAGTTGGGTATAGTTGGTAAATTTGGCGATTTGGGATTGCGATGACGTTATCGTGGAGGTGAGTGTGAGGGTTTGCTCTCTACCTCGTGTTACTTGGGGAATCTAACTGAGTATCCTTGAGCCTGGCGTGGAGGAAACATGCACCATCCTTCCCCATATTTGGAATGTGGCGTTTTGTTTTTCTGGAGGCATTTTTTTTGGATGACGGCAAGGGTCCACTCTGGTGGCAAAACTTTTGGCCACAATGGAAAGCGGCACTTTTTTCGTCCACCAGGTGGATCTAGGTATTTCACGGCAGGTGCTTGAGGTGCAGAGTTCGTGGCAGGCGAAGTGCTTCGTGGGTGCAGATTTCGTGGCAGGCGCTCCATTGGTGGACCTGGAAGAGTAAGATTTCGTGGAAGGCGCGGTTCTTTGCTGACCTTGACTGAATTGAGGATTTGTGGGAGGCACAGCAAATGTGCTCTCACATGCTCTCCCTCATGCGTGCTCTGACTATTATATATAATATGTGCTCCCATATGTGCTCATCTCATTCGTGTACTTTTGCATGTCCTGTCGTATGTGTGTTCTCCTCACTAGATCTCTAGACATCTGCCTCCACCTAGACTTGGAACTCTGCCGGGACCTTCGATTCCAAACCGTTTGTGAACCATCGCCACCCCCACCATCCCCCTCGCCATCATCGCCACCACCACCAAACCTTAAATCTTTTCAGGGCCCAATACCGAGGGAAACTTTTAAACTATAGTCCAGGACTGAAAGTTAGAATGGCGTGCGGTCTCCCAAAATTTTCATGACCAGAGATAGACTGCCGTACTGAATGGGTTAGAATGCCATACTGAACGAGTGTTTTAAAAAAACATGAGAAATACGTGCTTTTTGCCTGCTATTTGTGATGTATTGTACAGTTAGAATGCTGGCTGATTCTAAGCGGTGTCCATTAACCGATAACATCAAAAAACACTGACAAAAACACAACAAATAACAGTTGGAATGCCTCCTACGGGTCTTCAAAAAGGTTAAAAAAGGTTGGTTGTATGAATGGGTGGATGGTCATGGATAGATGGAGATGGATGGAAATGGG